CAGCATCGAGCAAGATTCCACCAACACCACGAAGAGCCTCAGCAGCCAAGAACTTGACCTTACTGTCGGGGTCCTTGGGGTTCACGAGACCGGTAGGGTGAACCTGTACCCACTCGAGATCAACGACATCAGCATTGGCAGCAACACCCATCTTGATGCCATCACCAGTACAATGCTCTCCGTTAGTAGTAGACAACTTGAGCAAGTCAGGACGGTACTTAGCCAAGAGACCATCTTTAGTGAAATCGGCACCGTATCCACCAGTTGCGAGGACGACCGGACCGTAACCCTTATGTGATTGACCATCGTTAGTCGTATACAGAACACCAATCACGTCACCTTCTTTGTTGGTGAGCAAGTCGGTAGCACGGGCCTTATTGATGATCTGGCATCTATCAGGTAGGGCCTTGGAAATAGCCTCTGCCATCTGCATCTCAGCGTAAGTGATAGTCATACCAGGGAAACGCTCCTTACCACGATGGGTACGCTCAACAGAGTGACCACCCAAACGAGATAGAAGAGAAAGATCGAGATCGAAGTTGTCCATGAGCCAGTTGACCGAGGAGCCGGAATGCTCAACCATGGTATTAATAAGCTCAGGACTCTTGGAGCCACCCTTCATACAGTCGAATTCGAACAGCTTGTTCGAATCCTTGATACCGAGCTTCTTCTGAGTTCTGGTGCACGAACCATTGATGCCAGAAGTAGCCTTGGAGGAGTTGCCACCGCAAAACGCAGATTTATCAATAAGCAGTACGCTTCCACCATGCTCTAAAATACTATTGGCAGCAGAGAACCCCGCGAGGCCACCGCCGACGACGATAACTTGGTTGCAAGACGCCTCGGACATCACTTGTGTAAAAAAAACTGAGATGAATGTAGTAGGTTACCGAATTCAGAATAGAAACTCCAGGGAAAACAAGCCTGCAAGTATGACAGGTTCATGAGAAACCACAGCTCTTCGACATCCCGGGCTAGTGAAGCGACAGAGCTAAAGTGGAATCTTAGCTCGACTTGTGTATGGAGCGAGTTACCTTTTCTCACATGGAGTCCATTCTCCTAGTGTCGTATATCCTTGAAATACTTCATCTGGCTGTGGAGAGTAACGGCCATGTAGTATCTTTGTTTCTGAGACTCTGAGCATGCTGATGGTCAGGGACCCTCTTTTTCTACTGAGTGTTATATCTATCTTGAGTGGAATGCTGATCAATGACGCGTGAGATGGCAAGTTTTCTCTCGCTCGAATAATTAGCTGCCTCCTGACTCACAACTTGTAACACCACAGACCATACTTCAAAATCCAACAAGCTTCATATCCTGCAATGAGATATCCATGACTCAACCAAATATCATGGTTGCTCCTGATGAACTGACGATGGTTAAAGGCTTATTTCTCAGCCGCTAGTGATCTATAGGCCACTCCTCGTGCTTCGTCCTCCTATATGCCGCTGGCCTGGGACGCAGAGAGTGACAAGGCTGGCACATCAATCTACACCCTGTCGCCATTAGCAAGAGCAATTCCACCCAACGAACAAGCATGCCATCACAAAATACCAGGGCAGATATGCCATATCTTGAGTTCAACGTTAAGTACTATACAACACCCCAATATGGCATATCGGCTCCGCTACATATGGGGCATAACTGCTCCGCCACCAACCTGGCATAACCACCCCGTTACCAGTACGGCATATCTGCCCCGTTACCAGTACGGCATATCTGCCCCGCTACTAAAATGGCATATCTGCCCCGCTACTAAAATGGCATATCTGCCCCCAAATGGAATCGGCCGACTTCATTCGGCCGTCGCGAATCGATGGAGTTTCCAAGATCGTGCGCCTACGATTTTGCCACCCTAAGCTGCCACGTGCTTGCGGGTTTGATAATGCTATCGAGGCGTGTTTCAAGATAGCATAGTTAATAGTCCAGAGGGATGAATCTTACTAGCTTTATCAATTGTAGCCAACTAACCGAAGCAATACTCAGACAACACCACAGCATATATCCTTCATCTGAACAAAGTTTATAACATAGTTCCGCAGAGAACCCACATTTATATGGTCCTCAAACGGGCACAACTAATCGTGGAAAAATGAGGTAAGGCTGTGGAACTACTAGTGAATCATTCAAAACTCTGGACGAATCTGCTTCGCATCATACGCAGCCCAGTCCTTTACAGGGTTGAAGTAGGCGAAGAGAGGATATGTAAGGTATAGAAGGAAAAGCACCCAGGACATAACTGATCCCCAAAACTGGGTAGTGCTCTTGTACTTCCTCGGGATATTGCCGTTCGTCATGATGACACGACTGAGACCACTCTTCATATGAATAAAGAAAGCAATAACGCCAACGATATAGAAGCACACCCAACCGAAGCTCTCAAAGATCTGGAATGCCATTTTGTAGAGATCCTTGAAGTGAATGATCGGACAACTTGTATCATCATCAGCACAAGGGAACCAGTTATCACGCATCCAGTACTTAGGTGCCGAGGCCTCCGAAACGAAACGGAACTGGATAAGATGCACAATGAGGAATATGAGTAGAATGCAACCAGTGATGAACATCTCCAAGTCGCGGAACGACGAGTTCATAGACTTGAACTTGAAGGTACGGACAGTAGCCACGACAACATGAAGAATTCCGGCGAGCAAGAGATAAATCTCAACAGGGAGGAATAGTGTACTCCAAGGACAGGGATGGTTCAAGAGATAAGCATAACCCTCGAAGTTCCTATCACCAACCAACAGGTTGATGTTACCGAGAGCATGAATAGTGACGAAGACCATCATGAAAATAGCTGAACGCTGCAACCCAGACTTATCAGACAGGACCTTGTAATTCTTGACACTGAAGATAGTCTTGAGAGTGTCAATGACGAACATCCAAATCAGGTAGCAGAGAGAGATGGCGTAGGAGCTGATGGATGGTCCGAGTGGCCCGAACATGTCCGACTTGTTACGATCCTCACCCCACCACTGTTCAGTGAGAGCCTTGGACTCAAACTGGTCAGCAAGAAGAGGCTGGGACAAGTCACCACCAGCAGCTGCAGGACCGACAGCCTTCTCAACAAGTGGTCCCAAAGTAGCGTCGGGAGCATACTTCTCAATCACGCCAGCCGGATGGATCATGTTGAACTCCTTGGATGCATCCTTACCAGCAAAAGTAAGAATGGCCATCTTTCCACCAGGATGCTTGGGGAGGAAGTCTGTGACATCCAATACCTCACCATTGATGACAACCCAGCAATCATCCTCAGTCGTATGTTTGGCGACTTCGTCCATTGTGATACCGCTCGCAGCAGCAGAAGTTGCAACAACGGGAGCCACAGGAGTAGGCGCAGGTGTGGAAGCGGCAGTGCTTGTAGCAGGGGCAGGCTTCGATGCAACGGGAGCAGGGGCGCGGGTTGAAGCAACAGGAGCAGGTGTCGATGCAACAGGAGCAGGAGTAGGTGTCGATGTAACAGGAGTGGAAGTAGACTTGCCCTCAATAACTGGACCGAGAACACATTCAGAAGCATACTTCTCAATGACATCAGGCGGATGGATCATGTTGAACTCCTTAGTAGCATCTTTACCGGCGAAAGTCATGATGGCAAGCTTTCCACCAGGATGCTCAGGGAGGAAGTCCGTGACGTTCAAGACCTGTCCGTTAATAGCAACCCAGCAGTCATCCTCAGTGGTGTGCTTAGCGACCTCATCCATAGTATATCCAGAAACAGCAGGAGCTGGAGCAGATGCAGCAGCAGAAGCGGGAGCCGTAGAAGCAGTCGAGGGGGCGGCCGAGCCGGTTCCAACGACACCGATGACAGCGTCGGGACAATATTTCTGGATGATACCAGCAGGATGAATATCGTGGAAAGGCCCAGTAGCATCTCTGCCACCGAAATTGAGAATAGAGATATCTCCACCAGGATGATCAGGCAAGAAATCCGTAACATCCAAGACCTCACCATCAATCACAACCCAGCAGGACTCGCGAGAGTTATGCTTCGAGATCTCGTCCATAGTGTAAGACTTGCCAGCGGCACCAGATGTTGTCGGAGTGGTCGTTACTGCAGTAGGAGCAGCCGGAGCAGGTGCACTCGTAGCTGCTACAGCAGGTGCAGAATTGGCCTCAACAACGGGACCAAGAACACACTCAGAAGCGTACTTCTCAATAACATCAGCCGGATGGATCATGTTGAACTCCTTAGTAGCATCCTTACCCGCGAAAGTCATAATAGCGAGTTT